CTGGATCTTGCAGGATGAGTCTGTCCCCGCTGCACTGTGAGCTCCTTGAGGGCACAGACTGGGGCTGGCTTGATTTCTGCTGTTTCACCAGCACTACCCAGCACAAGGCCAGGCACAGAGCAGAAGCTCTAAAAATACTAACTAAATGAAGTAATAGATGGATGAATGGTGGTTCCCTGACCCTGCAAATTATGTTAAATTTCCATATTCTATACTCCCCCCAGGCCAAAGGCACATTGATCATCTTTTGAAAGCAGCTCATATTTTGAACGTTTACTATGCCCTTCAGATCTCAGCTCAGGCAGAGATCCTGTAGACACCCTCTCTGACCCCACACCCCTGGGTGAGGAGCTTTCTCTGTGCTCTGGAGTTCGCACAGTCCTGACTGACCTTAACAATGATGGGTTATTAATGTGTCTCCCAGTGCCCAACAAAAAGCCAGCTCGGTTTGTCTACTGAATGAATGGACGAACAAACACGTATAGAAGTGGTATTAATGAATAGATGGACGAATGTCCGCTCTAGTTAAAATTACCCTTTTGCCAGATTCCCAGGTCACGCCCCCAGACCCCAGACTTCGCCCCGAGCCACGCCCCTAACCCAGCCCTATTTCCCGGAGCACAGTTGGGGTAAACCAACGTCTTAAACGGATGATATACAAGCACCTCTCACCTCCCAGGACGGGAGGGAAACTGAGGCCTGAGGTGGAGTTTTGGGAACGAAGCTTTAGAAAGATGGCCTGGCAAAAGACCCCGTCTGATCTTTTCTCGGCTTTCCCCTAGCTCTTCTGAGTCTTCAAATGCCCCGCCCAAATCACTCCCCTTCCCCATACTATTGGCTCGTCTAGACATCAGTCTCCACGCGCTCTCTTCCTCTATTGGCTAGTATTCCCAACTCGGCGCGGGCTCCCTGACCCGCCCCTTACCCCAAGCCTGTTCTTACTATTAGGCTACCCGCATGCCCCTCTCCCAGGAACCCTCCCTATTGGCTGCAGGACTTTGCCGGTTCGGGCTGTGATTGGTCGTGGACAGAAGTCCATCTCTTCCTGAGCAACCACCTGATGGGGGTTAGAGAATGGAAAGGTTGAGGGGACGTGGGGTCAGACTCACGCTGAGCCGGCGGGAGGCAGATATAGGTCTTGAAGAACTCGCTTCGGCGGGCGGCCTCCTTAATGCGGTTGGCAAGCGGCTTGCTGACCTGCCGGATGCCCAGGTATAGCAGCTTCGCCATAGGGAACGCGCCCACCACCATCCTGGCGGTCGCAAGGGGCACGCGCAACCTTGCTGACTGGGCGGGGCGCCTCGGAGCTCTCCCTCTTCCCCCGCCCTCTCGTCGCCTTGCGTGCGTACGTACGTGCGTACGCCCCGTGGGTAACTGCAGGGGCGCTCTCTGACGTCACTGCGTCGACGCTAACGCTCCGACGTCCGTTTGATGAATATGCAAATTTATGGCGGAAGTGAGGCCGTCAGGGGGTGGTGCCGTTAAACGGCTGCTCGCGGGAGTGTGAACGGGTTCCCACGCCCGCTTCGGCTGATGTCATCGCGCTCCTCCGTGACGTCGCATACCTAAGTGGCTTCTCCGCCTCAAAGAGGCTCTTAATTAATCCTAATCAGGACTAATGAGTCCTATATACCCTCTTCCCCGCAGTTAGAGCCCTCCCTGGGAGCAAGAACCTAGCCAGGTAGTCATACGGACCTGGGTTGGAATCCCAGCTCTGCCATTTACTTAACTGTGTGTGGCGAGTGACTTAACCTCCCTAGGCATCAGTATTCCCATGTACAAAATGGGAATCATGAGAGCACTTAATAACGTTATTGGATTGTTGTGGGTCTTGCATTCGAATCTTGAATATAAAAACATGGTGAGTGAACTATGTTAAATGCTTAGAATGGTGCCAGTCATCCAATAAACAGCCCTTATTACTATACAGGTATTAGCATTATTTTCGCTAACTCCAGCGTGCGAGTGCATTTCCTCTCCAGAAGCAGCTAATCCAATCATTTCCCAAGTAACTGACGAACTGAGGCCAGAACAGGGGGCAGGGATGGCACAAGGCCCCTCAGCCAGCAGAGGTTGATAGCCCGGCATCTTGACTAATAAAACTATACCCGTTTTCAAGCAGCCCAACTTCCTCCGTTTGTGGGAGGGCCCCCTGGGAGCTGGCTCAGCAAGGAGTTTAAGGACATGCATGTCCCAGACTGTCATCCCTTACCCAGCGGGGAGCAAAATCTTATAAACAAGGTCAGGAAGGAGTTGAGAGAAGTTTCTGGATGGTGGAGTGCTGATGGATAACAGAAATTCTAGAAAAGGCAGGGGGGAGGGGAAGTACAAGGAGCAGAGGAGCTGTGTATAGCAGGAAATGAACATTCAGGATACAGTGTCAGGGGACCCAGGGCTTTACTCAGCATCCACTCTGACTCCCTAAGTGTCCTTTGTCACTTCCCTGGCCTTTTTAGACCTCCGTTTCTCTGTCTGTAATAATGATACTGGCATGTGTGAACCCTGATACTCTAAATTACTAAGAATGCCAAGATTCCATAGAAACAACCCCTCCCCAGGATCCCTTCTGGACTGAAGGTGTGAGGAAGCTTGGGGCCTATTCAAGGTCCATAATTCTCTTGGGACCAACCCACACCCCATTTTACAGACTGGCCAAATGAGGCTAGAGGATGAAAAGGATTTCTGCAGAGTTCCAGGGATAATCAGGATGGAACTGAAGCTATGGTTTCTTGAGTCCCAGCCCAGAGTCTTCTCCTGATCCCTGGAAGATTGTTAGCCTGGGGCCCAAGGACCTACTGGTGGGGGCTGCGGTTCCTCACAATCGTTTCAGGAAACTTTCAAACATGTACATGACTTTTTGGGTGTAATTCACTACTGTTTCATCAGTTAGAACAATAGTTGGTATACAGTAAGTGCTCAATAAATATTTATTGAATGAATGGGAATGAGCATTTGGTGGAGGGATGGTATGCAAGCTTTCAGCTGATTCCCAGAGGGGACTGTATTCAAAAAAAAGTTCTGCCCCCTATATCTCCATTCCAATAGCTTTTTGGCCATGAAACAGGGTGGCAAAATTACTAGGCACCCCCAGATTCCAGGCCTCCCTCTTTTCTCTCCCCCAAAACAGCAAATCCCCAACTTCCTAAATGTCAGTGAACCACCCCTCCTCCTCCTCCTTCCTCTTTCTTTCTCTGAAAAGGGTTTTCCAGGAACCTCTTCTGGGAACTTCTAGGGCAAGGGTGTGTGTGCTCCTGTGTGTCGGGGGGCGGGGGCGCGGGAATCTTCACATCTCATCAGGAGCCTGGAGCCTGTTACACACCCATGGGGAGGAAGAGAGGGAGGTGACCTACCAGAAGGGGTGAGGCCTGTCTCGAGTTGGGTTTTTCCTCTGCTTTCCAGTCTGATTCTGGAAGAACAACCATTCCTGGTTGATCCCTGAGGGCTGGGGAGGGAGGGGAACACCATCAACCAGGGCAGCAGCCTTTGCCACTCTGGAGCGTGGGAACATAGGCGGAGACAGGGAGGGGACAGGGAGCCTAGGATGGCCCCAGCACTGACTCACCGGCTGTGTGACCCTGGGCTAATCACTTGGCCTCTTTGGTGACGGTCTTAGAACAGGGCCTGGGATCATTCCCAGAGGTCCTTCCAGTTCAGGTCTGCTTGTCACCCTTTCCCAAGATGGGCAAGGGGCTCGAGTTACACGGCCCTTGGTGCTTCTTGCATCACGATAATTCCTTCAAGTAAATCCCAAAACTGATACCGCTCCTTGCTCGCTCCACCCACCCCGACCCTGGTCCAGCTGTCAGGATCTCCTGCCTGGACTACTGTAGTCACCTCACTGGACTCCTGGCTTCTGCCCTTACTTTCCATACTCTGTTACCCACTCAGAAGCAGGACGATTTTCATAACATTAAAGCCAAATCCCATCAATCTCTGCTAAGAGCCCCTCTGTGGCTCGCATTTATCTTGGAGTAAAAGGCGAAGTCCTCATCTGGGCTTACAAAGCTCTGAGAGATTGGCCCCTGTCCCCCGCCATTCTCAGCTTCTTTCCTCACATCCTCCTGCCCTCTGCTCCCACCACACCACTGTGTGTACTTGCTGTCCCTCAAAACTCTCATACTCCAGGACATTGCACTTGCTGTTCCCTCTGCCTGCGGTGCTCTTCCACCCAACAAGGCTGACCCCACCCCAGCCTCCTTCAGGTCTTTTCTCAAATGCCCACTTCTCAGCGACCCCTCCCCTGACCTCCTTATCTAGATAAGACTCCATGTCACTCTCTATCCCCTCAGTCGGCTTATCAATTCCAAACTTTATATTTATCTTTATTTACTCGCTTACCATGAGGGTGGGGCCTGGGCTGTCTTGGTCACCATTTTGTTCCCAGCCCCTTGAGCCCAGAGCTGGGCAGAGAGTAGGTAAAAACAATTCTCTCTTGAGTGAATGAATAAATACCCTTCTCTTTTCCTGAGTCCCCGTCCCAAGTCTGCCCTGCTTGCTGCTTCTCCAGCCAGTCAGCTGATTGTCCTTCCTTTGAGTTCTGACATTCACCCTCTTCCTCAGTCCTGACTTTCGCATTGTCCTGTTCTTGCTCTCCATGGGTCCTTCCCAAAGGCAAAATTGATCACTCTACCCTCGGTGTGAATTTCTCCTTCCACCTTCTCCTTAAGTCACAGACTTTTACCCCCTCATTGGAAATAATCCTAACTTTTTTGTCTTTACCTTCTGGAAACTTAATTTACTTGTCCTCTCCTCCAGGAAGCCCTCTGACCCCCAGACTGGATTCTCCCAGCCGTTGGGCTCCCCTGTCTGAGCCCTGCCCATGCTGGGTCATCGCTATCTGGGGACAGCTGTCCCCCATTGAGTGGGAGCCATGAGGGCAAGGCCAGGACTGTGATTCGTCACTGCTGGGTCACTGGTTCCACCCAGCACAGGGCTAGACATCATTCTTCTGAATTGTTAGAGGGTTGTGGAGGATGATAGTTGACCAGTGACACACCAACCTCACTGTTTTCCTATGTTCTTATATTCTTATGAATATTAACACAGTCTTATTTACATACAATTTGCATACACCAGACCAAAAGGGGAGGAGTGTGGGATAAGACCAGAGGAGTGGGGCCTCTGCACGATTTGAGGTTCACTGTACTGGTGGCAGCATCTTCAGCTGCACCTGGTCCCTCTGGGAGGGTGGAGCTGCCACCGAGTTGGCTGCCATGACCTTGGCCATGCTGTTCCTCTTGGAAGTGAGCGGGGTGTCCAGGGTGAGCGAGGCATTGGCCATCTCCTGGGGCTTGTCACTGGCCAGGAAACGGAGCAGGTTATGCAGGGCCTTGGCCACGTCACTGCGGGCGCCCTCGTTGACGAGGCAGTAGAGGATGGGGTCAGCCACACAGTTGAGGCTGGTGAAGGCCAGTGAGCTGTGGTATGCTGAGAAGACACGTTCCTCGAAGCCACAGTCCCAGGGGCGGCCCAGGTAGACAGCACTGCGGGAGAGCAGCAGCACGTGGTAGGGCGCAAAGCAGACCAGCACGATGGCGATGAGGCTGAGGGCCAGCCTCTTGATCTTGGCCTTCTCCTGGCGCTCGGTGGACACGCTGCCCCGCACAGCCCGCAGGATGCCACAGTAGGACAGCAGCATAAGGGCCCATGGGAAGAGGAAGCCCACGAAGACCCGGTAGAGGTTCATCCAGGCCACCCAGCCCTCCATGGGGAATTTCTCAAAGCAGAAGGTGTGATTGTAACGGTCGCGGAAAAGCTCATCATGGAACAAGGGCACCGAGTTGGCGCCCAGCTCTGTGGCCCAGACCACAGAGCTCACAGCCACAGCCATCTTGACACGGCGCAGGCGGGTGAACCGCAGTGGGTGGGCCACAGCCAGGTAGCGGTCCACCGAGATGCAGCACAGGAAGGCGATGCTGATGTAGATGTTGGTATAAAAGATGAACCCGAAGAGCTTGCAGGAGCCAGGGCCGTGGATCCAGTTGTCGTGATGCAGGAAGTAATCAACCCAGAGCGGCAGCGTGCAGATGTACAGCAGGTCGGCGATGCTGAGGTTCATCAGGTACACACCCAACTCGTTGCGTTGCCGCACCTGGCGGTAGGCGGCCCACAGGGCCAGGCAGTTGGTGGGCAGCCCCACGCCGATGACGAAGATGTACAGGGAGGGCGGGAAGAGGTGGTCCACGCGGGAGTCCACATGGCAGCCCTCCCACGTGCGGTTGCCCATCCTCGACACTGGGGATTTCGAGGTGCTTCCCCTGGCCCACAAGGGCTGTGGGGCCACAGGGGACAGAAGGCCATCAGGCCCCCTGGGCCCCCTCCTTGGAGGCTCAGGGGAACATGGTGGGAGGGAGTCCAGGGGGAAGAAATGAGGTTGACTGTGAATCGTGGGCCAGGCTGGGCAAAGAAGGATGGAGCTTGAGAGGGAGAAGTTGGAAGAGGGATAGAATTACGACAGGAGGGAGATTTGCGGGATGGCAGGATTAACAAAGAGCTTCATCAAGGAGGTGTTTATAGATCAAATCAGAGCATAAATGGGGGAATATTGGGGTAATACAAAATTGGCCGGGGCGGGGGGTTTATAGAGAGGATGAAGGCATCAGTGGGCAGTGGTGAGAGGGAGATACTTGTGGAGGATGTAGAAAGTAAGTGTGGCCATGCTGAAGTAATGGTGGGGTGGAATGCTCTAGAAGACACAGGAAATATATGGGATAGTGTTGAGATAGGACCAGCTACAGTCAGGGAGTATTGAAAAGACCAGGCAAGGTGAGTGGGAGTGCTGGCATTTCCTAGGACCCCAGTAAGAAATAAGGAAATAAGTTAGGTAACCAATGAGGAGAAAATTACGGAAAAGGAGGGGTCCTGTGAGGGATGAAAGACAGGGAGAGCTCAGCCTGGGCAACGTGGGAAGGATTTTTAAGAAACAGGAAGGAGGTGAGTAAGGACTGGATAAGAGCACGGTTAACAATACAGGGAATTTAAAGGGGCCAAGGGAGGGGCTCCAGCTTGGTCCTGGTGGGGACTGAGCAGTTGGGACGAGGCGGCTCCACCTCACAGTTCAAAGCTGACTTTCCAGTGCCTGTAGGGAGAGAGGACTGCAGTGAGGGGAGTCACAGACTGTCCCCTTCTCCCCATTCCCCTTTGTAATAGTGACTACAAAGGGCTGCAGAGGGTGGGAACCCTGACGATGCCTAATTGAGCCCCCATTCTAAGCAACAGATCTCTGAAAACCCAGATTTGAGATGCCAGAAATATTTCTTCCCTAATAGAGGTTAAAATAAAGACTCAACTCAGATGTTTAAACTTTCTTCCAGAAACCATATAAAACTGGCACAAGTATCAGATCTTGCTTTGGGAAATGCTGAACTAGGCTTACCCTGTCATGTGAGAGGCAGGGACATGGGGCCCAGAGAGGCTGGGTCACTCCCTTCAAGGATGCACAGCAAGGCAGTGACGGAACTTAGGGCTAGAACCAGCCTCCCACCCCTAGCCCAGGGCACCCCATTCTAGACAATGATGATGACAGAGGTGACGATAACAGCTAAAGTTTACTGAGTCTATTACATAGCAGACCCTGTTCCAAATACTTTTGTGGGTGTGAATTTATTAAAATTTCAAGAACCCAGTGAGGAAAATACTGTTACTTTCCCTATTTGACAAACTGAGGCACAGGGTGGTTCAGAGACCTGTCCAAGGTCCTGATGGCAGGAGCGTGGAAATGTCGGCTCTCACCCCGTTTCTCCTGCCTGTGCTTCAGTTTTCACCCAAGAATTGCTGGTCAGAAAATAGTCCTGGGTTTGACAGCTCAGGGAAGCATAGTTGCAGGGGGCTGGGAGGGGAAGGGATGCGAGGAGGAGCTTCTGGACTCCATCAAGATCTGGAGCAAGGGGAAGCCCTGGGGGCACGGCCGGGAGTCCCCTCCCTCAAGGGGACTTCATTGCCTCTTCCCACTCCCCTCTGATTTTCCCGAGAGCCTTGGTCCTGGGGAGACTTGAAAGCACAGGAAAAGGACAGTCTTGGACCAAACCCCGGATCATTGTCAACCCCAGAGAAGAGGGGAGTCAAGTCCTGAATTAGAAGCATTTTCGGAAGCCACTCCATCCACAGGTTTGCATTGGTTTAGTTTTGGAGAACTTTGGGGGTCGGTCCTTGATTTTATTTATGTATCTTTTTAAGAATGTTTTCATGGAGGTACTGTAAAGGACCTTGTGCATGCTAAGCAGGTGCTCTACCACTGAGCTATACCCACCCACCGACCCTACCCCCACATTGGTTTAGTTTAGGCTGTGAAATCATTTTTTTTTAAACCAAATCCCAATTGGAAACCCCATCTAAGACAGTGAAAAGGGGACGCTGCTCTGTGTTCTGATTGAAATGAGGTGGGGGGAAGAAAGCCACCTCTGAAGAATCCCCAGGGCACATTTTGAAAAACCACTGGTTGAAAAAAATAAAAATAAAGAAGGAAAACCACTGGTTGAGTCAGTTGGACAGATGATGAAACTGAGGCCCAGAGAGGGGAAGGGATGAGCCCAAAGGCACACAGCAGGTCCATGGGAACCTCCCAGATGGTTGAGCATCTTTCCATGGGAAAGTCCTCTTGGTGCTACCTAGCTCCACAATAAATCCTGAATCCATGCATGTCTCTAAAACCCCTGCCACTGCCTGCTCTGCTCCACCATCACCACTCACTTGAACCTTACAGTAGCCTCCTCATAGCTTTCCTGGCTGTTGCTCTGGCTTCCCTCAACTCACTTCCCACACAGCAGCCAGAAAGATCTCTCTAACATGGAAATCAGCTCTTGTTACTTCTCTGCTTGAAACCTTCCAATAGCTTCCCAGTGGACTAGGGGTAAAATCCCAAATCCCTTCGCCAGGTGACAAGGTGCTGTCTGACCTGTCTGGGCAGCCTAGCTGACTTTCTTGCCCACCTCCCCTCCTCTGCCTCAACTGGCTCAAAACCTTTGTTCTTCTTTCAGATCTTCTCAGGACTAGCTCCCTCATCTCCATCACTCCCTCAGGGAGGCCCTCTCTACCAAGTCCTACCCACCCATCCCCAGAGCTCTCTCCTCACATTATTTTGTATCTTGTTTGTGCCTGTCTGTCTAGAATGGATGTTCCAGGAGGGCAGGGACCTTGTCCTTGAGCACCCATGACAGGCCCAGCATCCAGTAGACACTCAATAAATGACTGGACCAAAGGAACACGCATTGGTCAGCCCCTCCTCCAACACAGGCCCCCCTCTTCCCCTGAGAGGGCACCACCTCCCACTTCAAGCTCTAGTGAGGCCCTGCGGGATGGCAAGGAAGGAGATGGTGAGGGGAAAATTGAAAAGGGCAAGACCCATCCGCTGCATAATTGACTTTGAAAGGTCAGAGCTGAGTCCCGCTTAGTAAGCCCTACCCCCTGTGGGTTCCTCAGCGACAGAAGGGCTGCCCTCACCTCAGCCTCACAGAGACTCCTGGATCCTGTGAAGATGGGATGGAGGGAGCTTGCTCCTGGCTAGAACAGTGCAATCCAGTCCCTCCCTTTGAATTGAAACCCCTCCATCCCTGAACAAATCACTGGAAACATCTCTCTCCCCTCTCTCTGCCCTGGGTCTCTCCTTCCTCCTGTAACACTGAGGGAATTTCTTCCTCTTCAGGAACCTCAGTTTCCCTTTCTGTATAAATGGGGGTGGGGCATAACTTTTGTATAGCGGTGACACCATATATAAATTGTGCAGTACTTGAACAATTATTACTATTCACTGGGAAGCTGAGACAAGAACTGAACCAGTTCGTAATGGGAGGAGGTGCCAAGAGCTGGGAGTTCCCTTTGCCCCACCTTCTCGTGAACCCCTGGGTTCAGCTGAGGCTGGAGCGGGAACACAGACAGGAGACTTATTTCCGGCACCCAGAGGAAATACACTTCCCATTGCTAATTTCCTCGAGGGGGAACCAGGTGGATGCTCACCCCCCTCTCCTCCTATCCCTCCTCCCCAGTCCACCTGCTTCATGGGGATGCTGGGCATAGGGGAGGGGCACTTAGCCCTCTCCTCCCCCCACCCCCACCTGAGCTCTGCCCACCGTCCAGCCCGCAAGAGACAGCATGAAAAGGCAGACTCTTAGAACTCCACAGGGCAAGAGGCCTATATGCCACCACTGGGGATGCGAGGCTACTTCTGACCCCTTCCTGGTAGAGATGGGGAAACTGAGGCCCAGAGTCACAAGGCAGTCGTCTAAGTCACATGATGTATCAAGACACTGTAGGTCTTAACTCAAAAACTTCCCCTTCCCTGAATGTTTTCTCTCTTTCCTGTAATTTTCCTCAAGTGTTTCTGGGGTTCTCAGCACCCCCTGGAGAATCTGCTGAAAGGTCTAAGGACTCACTACCACAAAAAAGCAAGTGGCCTCAATGTCTTGCATATCCTTTCATCACCTAACTCCTCTGCCCAGCCCCCCACCATGGGTTGGGATCAAAGTTGCCTCCCTCGCTCAGGCTTTGTTGGGGGGTCAACCCCCAAATCTCACAGTCCCCACAAGAAGCTCTCCCTGGCCCCCAGGCCCCTTCTTTGGTCCATGCTGGCCCCTCCCAGAGGGGCAGGAAAGAGAGATAAGCTGGGAGTGTGGAGCCGTAGTGGGGAGACAGGAAGGACTGGTCAGACCCCTGCTGGCACTTGGCGTCTCAGTGCTCAGTGCTCGAGCCAGAAAAGTCCATGGGCCCCACCAGCCACCTCCAAGTCCAGCAAGGCTGAAGGACTGGGCGGGGGCGGGAGTGGGGTGAGAAGACAGGAGGGAGAGGTGAGGCAGCCCCCCACGTCCCCCACACTGGTTCACTCACCAGCCTGGTCCTGGACGCCTCCAGGCTGCCTCTCTCACCCCCTCATTTCCCTCCTCTGAGGGCTCCTGCTCTCCCCTAACTCCCCCATCAGCCCCCAGGGACCAGCCAGCTCCGGTCTGCTCATTACTGGGCGAAATGTGATCACGGAGCCTCGCTCCCCACCTGGTGCCCTGGCGGCTGGCTGGCGGAAACTGGGGGACAGTCAGGCCACCATGATAGCTCCGCTGGACCTCAGTTTCCCCATTTCTACCGAGGGGATCCCCATCCCCTACACCACCCAGAAGGGACACCAGGGTGTTCTGACTGTACCCCTCTGGTGTTCTAGATTCCAAGGCTCTCAGATCTTCGGTTCTATTGTTAATCCAGTTCATGGTTTACTGTTCTATTATCATAATATTCTAGAGCTTTACCTTTCTACCATTCTGTTATTATTATCATGGCGGCCTTCCATGCCCTTACCCTTCTAAGTTTCCAATATTCTAGGAGTCTCACATTCCAAGATTCTCAAGTTCTATTGTTAGAACACTCTATGATTTTTTTTAACGTTCTACGATTTTCATAATCTATTATTAAACTCTCTGTGATTATCTTTGCCCAGCAAACACGAATGTGTATTTCCCTTTTCTTTTTTACAGAAATGGGACCATACTATATATACAGTGAACCTCACTTACTTTTTTCTCCTTATCTATTCTGTTTTTTTTTTTAACATTCCGGCAGCCTGAAGTTGTAAGATTATGCAGGATTCTAAGATACTAAGGATTCAATGGTGGAGGGGGGCAGTCACCATCTTCACCTGGCCCCTAAATTCTCACCACCTTTGGGGGACACTCGGAGCCCAGGCTGCATCCCTACCCCTTGCCCGGCAGGCTTTGCCGCCTCTCTCCCGGCTCCCTGGCTCACACCAGCTGAGTTATTATTTGTCTAGACACAAACCAAATTATAGGCCCTGTCCCACGGGAGCAGTGGGCTTCGTGGGGAGGGTCAGGAGACAGAGGCAGGCGGGAATTAATCTCTGTTCCCCCCCACTTCCCCTCTCCTCTTCCCTCCTTCTCTGAAACTCCACCCCTTCCACCCAGACCAACTCTGGTCCAGTCTCCCTCCCCACCACCATGGTTTTAGAAATATTTTCTCTTTTCTGCTTCTAAAAAAACCCACTCCCTTCTAGGTTGTGGCCATTCACACTCGCCCTGGCATTCTCCCCTCCACCTTATGAAAACCTCCTTCCCCAAATTAATCTGACTTAGTGGCAGCAAAAGAAGCCAGATCTGTGAATTTGGGCTTCAGTTGAACTGGAGTCCCAACCCCAGTCTGAAACTGACTCCCTGGGGGGACTTCTGCTCTTGGGCCTTTGGTTTCCCCATCTGTAAAATGGGTGGGTGCTTGGTCTGGAAGGCTCTGCAAGACATCTTTCAAGCTCTTAGCTGTGAATATTGAAAACACTACTCTTTTTGGATTGAAAGATACAAATATCCTGAGGCTTTTAATTTGAAGATTTGAGCATTCCCAGTCTTCCTCTCTGACCATTCTCACATATTTGGGTCCTTTTATTCAAAGATTTCACATTTGATCCTTCTTTTTTTTTAACTTTTTTTGGGGGAAGGGAAGATAACTAGGTTTATTTATTTAATGGAGGTGCTAGGGATTGAACCCAGGACCTTCTGCATGCTAAGCACACACTCTACAACTGAGCTATACCCTCCCGCCTTAAGACTTCTTGATTCTATCATTTCCAGAGTTCAGGAGCCCCCTCCCCGACAGTCTCTCTCATTTTCTCCTCCTGGAACACACCCAGGAAGGAAAACTTCCCATCCTCACCCCAAACTTGAAGTCAAGCTCATCCACAGAGACAAGAGTTGTGGGGGGGCCCTTGGTGAATTCAGGAGGAATGGGGCAGGTGGTGGCCCTGGAGGGAAACATGGGGGTCTATGGCCCCCATCATCTCCATCTGTGCTCCCCAGAAAACCGCCCAGCGCACATCCCTCCTGAGTACACAGCACATACCCCACAACCAACACGTCACAGAAATTCCAGAGCTGTTCTTCATCTTGGCTGGGGGTTAGGGTACGGGTGTCCAGTTCATGGAGGTGGGGATGAAGCCAAGGCAGGAAGGAGTTAACGGGTAACCCAGCCAAATCCTGGAAGGGAGGAAGTGGGGGAGGAAGTTCACCCCCCAGCCAGGAATTCCTGAAATTGGAGGGTGGGGTGGGTGCGACCTCTAAAGCAGTGGGGTGACTCTGTTAAGGCGGAGCCGGGGTCACAGGGTCACTTAGAGCCCACCTGCCCCAGGTGGCAACCCTACTACCCCCTACCCAAGTTCCTCAGCCCAGGCGAAAGCTCTGGGATTTGCGAGGATTTCGACTGTGATGACGACGACGGGGTGAAGTTGCCAGAAAGGGGTCTCAGATACAAAGAGACAGAGACAGAGGAATATGGAGAGAGACGAGGAATACGGAGAGAGACAGAAACTGGAAGGCAAAGGGCAAAGAGATGCTCAGAGACGGGGAGACGTGGAGATGGAAGCAGACAGATCCGTAGAGACTGAGAGTTCATCAAGAGACTGAGACAGGGGCAAACAGAGAGAGACAGTGAGACAGAGATACAGAAATAGACACAGAGACATGCAGAGATGGAGGAGACACACATCTAGAGGGAGAAGGACCGCAGAGACAGAGATATCAGAGACAGATGGAGAGATGGAGACAGACCCCAGAGGCAAATCAACTGCGGAGACTCCGGGAGAGCCAGCCCC